ATGCAAGGTAAAGCTAAACAAATCACGAATATCAACATTGGTCCAAAGTTTCACTATAGTGGTTAACGAACACGACGAAATCCTCAAACCACAAATTCTAATAATTTTGCGATTATGAATGTTAACCTTCGTACATTTGACTTGTTCTACAATTGAATAGAGTGCTGGTCGAATGTTTGTGTACAACATGTAGCGTGATTTGTCCAGTATCATAGGACATTTCAAAACATTTCTTCATAGCAGAATACTGTTTTGGCATATCAATATTAATTTATGGGAATATAAAACTACTGTAACATCGGGGCGCTTCTAGGACAAATTACAACAAATGAACCCTGTTCAGAAAGGAATAGTTTAATAGAAAAACAAAGGATATGGGGTATTCATCCATGACACAAAATCAGTACATGCACAGCAAGAAACACACAAAAAGTGTGTTTACTGCTGTTCTTCATCTTCATGTCAAAGTCATCATGAGGCCTTAAACACGGAGCAAAACACTCTCATTTCACTGCAAGTTTAAGACGGCCCCTAGTACCGACTTGAGCCGCATTCTTTGCAAAAATAATTCGGATAGACTTTGTAAGATTGTAACACCACCTAATCGGGCCCGATCAAAGAGAACATTCCGGAAAGTAGTACATATTTAAAACAAAATACTTTGTCCTGTTGCTTGCAACTCTAAATATTCCTCAACAAAAATCAAGAAAAAACTCATCTATGATCGACAGTTTACTAATGCCATTTTAAAATGATTGTAGTTTGTTGAAAGTTTCTAATTTTCGTTATTGTTCTGCCCAACAGTCTGGTCTGTATAAATTAATTTGATGTCTGAACTATGGTAAGCATTGATATCTCATTGCTTATGGTAAAAGCATGTTCTGTAAATTTGTATATACATGTATAAGTAATGAATAAAGTTTGAATCTCCGTAAAGGGTTAGAGTGGTGGTAAAGTAAGTTACCATTTACCTTATTTTTTTAGAGTCCGTAATCCCTTGTCTTGCTTGTAGCTTTATTATTACAATATGCAAGAATATGAAACAACATAGATTGATTTAAACTTTATTACCCATGTTTTTCAAACACAAACTACATGAGGGAATCCCATGAACTTCAAAAAGAGTTGAGGTCGGATGCATCATCAGCATACGTATCTTTTGCTATGCATGCATCTTATCAGTCAAAATGTAACACACAGGAATGGGACACAGATGATAAATTTAGTTTCTATTTAGTATTTAAATATCTTAAAATGAAAAAAAAAATGTTGCTAGTGAGTTGATACACGGTAAAGCTTGAAGGTAACGCAATTCGTGATGGTGACTTTAAAACTATTTTGTGTCCATTTCAGTCACCAGTTCTTACTCATAACTCTGTACATATAACCGAATGTGTATTTAAACAAGCAAAACAGACAGGTGCCACATGTAGAGCAGAATCTGCAAACCGTTCGGGGACACATGAGATAACCCCATGTTTTTAGTTAGGTTCGTGATGATCAGTCTTTAGTTCAGTTTCTTTGTAGTGTTTTGTAGATTTTTTTTCGTCTTTACGTCGTTCTTCGACTTTTTCCATGGTGTTGTAAGATTGCCTTCGATTACAAAGTTAATATTCCTTTGCATAGTACTAGTATCTTCCGCCTCTTTTTTAAACAGTTTTGTGTCAGAAGCACATTCTTGTTTATGAAGTTTGTACTGTGTCAACATGCATGAGCGTAAGGTATGAATTTAGATAGGTAAAATCCATACGATGGAGCAGAGGGTATGCTACTATTGAAAACTGGGACTTTGACATTGTAAATTTAAAATTATAATGTGACGTTTGTCATAGATTTTTGTTTGAAGTCGTCAATCTGTGTCAGTATCAAAGAAAAGGTCAAGATATAAAGCAGCCATTCTATATTTGGTAGTATCCTTTATCACAAGCTCACTGGGATATTTGAAATGTAAGCACTGACTGAAATGTGGGTAATAGAGTGACAGGATATCTTGTAATGATATATCTGAACTTCAAATTAAAGAACTTGGCAAAATGTTTTTTTTTTTACTTATGCATCATTCGTATCAACTTTTATAATAAATATTTCCAAAATTCCCTTTAGTATATCATCCATCGAATGAACCAAAGTCACAATCATCAATTTAGAGTTAATTTCATCTTTACACCTATCAACTGTGTCAAAATACCGCGATTAACCGAAGGGGTAAATAAAACAACTGACCCTATTCTGCTTTTGAGAAAATAACACTATTTAAAGAATTAAACTTAATGCATGTCCCCCCCCCCAAAAAAAAAAAAAAAAACAACAAAAAAACAAAACAAAAGAAACAAATATAAATCAATTGTTTTAAAAACAATTGTTAAACGGTCTTTCCCCTCCGAAACATGATTGGTTGGTTGGTTGGTTGGTTGGTTGGTTGGTTGGATTGTCGATTGATTGATTGATTGATTGATTGATTGATTGATTGATTGATTGATTGAAAGTTTGCATGACACTCTCTCTATGCGAGGCATCGGACTTGACGTTCATATTCTGACGAGGCTGCGTACTTGTATATCCCGCACTCCCAAACGGACAGCTTTAGGATTTCCTAATAAATAAAAATCCTAACATCTTCTTTTTTTTTCTAATTTTCTCTATTTGCTACGAGAACTGATACTTCATGGTTTCTTTTATGTGTTGTGTGTACATTTTGTTTCAACTTGTAGGAAGAAAAAAAATGAGTAACATTTTGTCTTGGAAGTTTCACTTTCCATATTTGGATATGGATCTCGAATGTTTTATTCTAATTTTAGGTCCGCGCGCGTGATGATGTTTTGAAGTCACGTGACGCTCGAATATATATGTCTGGAATATTAATTTCTTTTCAGGGGAGACCGTTGAACAGAGCACATGTGTATTGATTAGAGAAACACGATAACTATTGTTTTTATTTTGTACAAGTCATTGATGTTGGATCATGCATACATATTACGTACATATGTTTACGGGAGCACAGATTTGTATTTTAATGCATGTTTAGAAATTTGATTGTAGGATTTCAGTAATATTTACGAACTTGGGAGGGATTTCTACAACATCGATTTTAATTTCGCAATCAAGCGGACCACACGCGTCTCATCTATTAATTTCAGAAAATACATGAATTGGAGCAGATTTTTGCAGGGATGGATTTCTTTTTCAGAAAGAAATTTGTACGTAAGAAGGATTAGCATTTTACAGTATAATGTACGGGACTAAAAGCGATTTTCTTTTCATAGAAATGGGATAACTTAAAAAAAATCAGTTTAAAAAAAGGGGGGGGGAGTGTAGTGGGAGACTGTGGTTGATAATTGAGCTAAGAAACATTTACAACATGATAGCTGCAAAGTTTGAAGTTTTGATAAGTAATTTGTTGATTCGACCATAACAGGGACATTGACCCTGCAATAAAATGACGCGTACCATTTCAACAAAAAAATTTCTAGTAAACACGTGTCGTGACAAACTTTTTGGTTAAATTGTTTTGTCGATATCTATAACTCTTTCTAGGAAGAAGCGATATGAACTTAATGTAAAAAATCACAACATGACCTTGACCTTTGACCTTGACCTAATTTTCTTATTTTTGGATCAAGGACCTCAAATCTAAAGATCCTAGGTCTCTATCACTTATGGTTTACAAGATAGAAATGCATATCACTTATATCAAATGCATAAGGGGAAATAACTCTCATATGGAGTTTTCGTATGGTTTCGGTCAAAATTGAACAAATCATGCGAAGGATATAAGGAGCAATTTTATAAAATAAATTTGTCGCTTTCTTATACGGTTACGGAGGAGATGCAGTCACAAGGAAAACAGTGTTCGGGGAGATAACTCCTACAAAGAAAAGTATTCGGTTAAGCAGGGTCAATTTCAAAAGCGCAATAACTGTTCGATATCATATGCAAAAAATCTAAGCGACATCTTGTAAAATCACAATACCCCGCAAGAAAAAAAAGTGGCGGAAGAAGAAAAAAAAAAAAATAATAATCAGAACAAATACAATAGGTCTTTCCACAGAAAAGTGGAAAGACCTAATAAAACATCAACAAATACAATAAATATCAAGTCCTAACTCTATGAGGAAAACTAAGTATTCAACCCAATCAGGGACCGGGCACAACTTTCCGGAAATTATTCAAGTTAATGATTATATAGTAGATATTTTGAAATTAAGAATAAGTCATTTAAAAGAATCTTATTTCAATAAAACTTGTGTATATAAAAAGGAAAATTGCAGTTTTATTAATTTATAGTAGTTACGATACAATTTATACATTAGAGCTTGATTGTATGATGTTGGAATCCGGTGAAACACAAAATGTCCCCGTTTACAATACTTTGTACCTTCATAATTTGTCATCAAAAGGCTTTTATGATTAGCTTTTTTTCAATTATTGAATAAAGCATTGTGTATGATGTTTGAATAACAAAAAAAAGAAATAAAAATGAGTGCAGCCTTTAAAAAACAAGTCAAACTGCATGTCACCTTTTTGGCATTTTTAGTCAAATTTGATAGCTAAACGCTAAAATTTAAAAAAAACTGCACCATACGACTTTTTGACTACCAATCTTAAATTCAAGTAAATTCATTTTTCTAGGACTGTGCAACGTTTCAGCTGTGTAATATGAAGTGAAATTAAACTCTTTTAATAATCGACTTTTTCCTATTCCGTCACTGCACTAAAACGTTGAACTGACAATAAAACAAATTATTGAATAAAACGAATCAATAAATCATCTGATTCTCCCTTTCTTCTTTAACAAATTTAATGTGAAATCAGTGTTCATTACATGAAACTAATTGTAAACAGGTTTACAATGCGCGACGTTTGGTGTGAACACTGCCCATGTCGTTAACATCGCCGTGAATAGATTAAATATACTGTATCAAAAATATGAATTCAATTCCTATTCTTTGAATTAGTTAACTTTTTTCTTAAATAAATATTCTACACTATTGAACACTTACAAAAAGAATGTACAACTCCAATCCATGTTAGGAGTAAAATTAGTTTGTATAATCCCATTTCGTTGTAGACAGCTTATGAAATTCAAAATGTTTCGGTCGTATTAAAATATATATAAAATGAAGGTATCTTAAGGAAAAATGTGAACAAAACATATGATATGAAGTTTACTAACTTTTCTACCCCCTCCTTAATGTCCCTCTTCGTGTGCAAATTACGGAAAAGAAAATGAGAAACTGATATGAATTAAACCTGTTTTTACAGTGTATATTGATATTCCTTTTTTTTAGTTTTCTAAATATCTCATATTTCAGAATCCCACATATACAATTTTCAAATTGTTACAACAAAATTACGTTTTCATTTACGTATCTATAGATATTTAATCCATTAAACTTCTCTAACTGAGTTTTAATTGGTGCATTATTGCAACATTTTGCCGTTTGAAGCAAGAAAGTAACACACCTTTAATTGAAAATGAGATGAGACGAAAAACAAACGTCACTTTTCACGCTATCAAATATGCATAATAAAACTAATAAATGAAAAAAAATCAGTGATCGTTCTGTTTACCATTGAAGTCTTATATTTATTGTATTTTGATTGGTTCTAGATTGATATGTAGACTTTTACTAGATGGAAGAATGGGCGGAAAATTAATTTTTGATGACAATCGAATGGTCCAAAATGTATATTTTACGATAACTGTGTCGGAAACAAAATTTTCTTTTTTGAATATACATGTTTAATTAGAAGGTGATGACGTATTACAAATATGTCTTTGTAGACGACGAATGAATCATTTTGTAATAATTGTGGGTAGTCATTCAGTCCATGTCATGTGTGTCAATTTCATACAATCCGTTTCTCTTATGATTTTACATAAATTGATAAGGGTAATCTTCCGAATGGAATTTACCGCGCAACACTCTACTGCCAAGTTAATGTACACAGTAACCATACTGAAATTTTAAATTGTTTCCGAATTTAATCGGTTTTGGAGGGTTACACAGTCACTGAGATATTTTATGGCATGTTTATGTATGTATATGAAAGATGAAGATGAGATCAATGATTATCTTATCTGATTCATACTTCTTCACTTAGTTTTGCTGTTACGACTTTAATTGTATGCCAACTGAGCCTAAAATCTCAAACAATTTTCCCACTGCAATGTGCAAATCCTTTGCTTCAGAACAAAAATGTTCTTTCTGCACAACAAATAAATATGTCACAGTCCTTCTGTATTCACATTGTTTCAACATGCCATCTTAGCATAAAAAAAGTAACAAATATATTGATTAATTAATTGTTTCTTTTGCGTCTAGTGGCAAATATTTCATGCATGTTCAGGACGATAAGAATTTAATATTTTCAGTATCTTCTGTTCGCATTCTTTAATGCACATATGGGTAACGGTCTAAATCAACAAACAAAGCAACATTATTCTTAATCTTTAATGGCCATGGACCATTTCATTCTCATGTGTATATAATGTCATTTGTATATTTTCTCTCAATTTCAGTCTAATTATATAATCTAAAAAAAGATCTGTTTTTTATAAAGAAACTGTATAATTAATATAAGCTGACAATAAACAATTTTTATGTCTGGCAGCTTTTTAAATTGAAAGAAACTCTTTTCCGCTCCACATGTTTATGTTTTCGACTGTTGTATAATCAAACTATATTTTATGCAGAGGCGGATTTAGGGGTGGTGCAGGGTGCCCTGCACGTTCTGGAGCAACATATTATGGTAATTGCATAGTTTTTATCATGTCAAACTCCAAACAATGCCTAGTTTGCCCCTCCTCCTTTCAAAATCCTAGATCCGCATTTGTTAGCACCAAATAAATATATTGCAACTTAAAACAACAATGCGTTATACTTCAGGAGACATAAAAAGTATATAATTGTGTAAATGTCCAAACAGTAACTATAGCTAAAAATCTATAAATATAGCTATAAAGGTGGTACCAAACGCATTGACTAAAATTAATTTGGCTAGTTTAATTTTCATAAAATTTTGACAAAATATTGACTTTGATCCTTTGACAAAAATATAAAAATTTCATAAAACATGAACCACACACTTTATCGGAAAAATTTCATTGGATATATAGCAGTTTGACAAACACTAATTTTGATCATTGAGAAGCTTAATACTTCCTTAACAATAGAACGTGATTAAAACGTTCAGCTGATATATATCCCTGAAGTGTTATGTACCACCTTAATTTTATATAATAAATAAATAAATATCACACCTGTCTTCGTTTAACATTTATGGTCTTGCATTTATCAAAAATATAAAATAATTTCTGTGTATATAGTACATTTCTTCTTAATTTTCCATACACGTACCAAATTCATTTCAATATTTTTCAATATGCATTTAATAGATTAATAGCAACAGGGAGACGACATCACCCAGACTGCTGTATGCATGGTTTGTAAAATGTAATGTAATTTCAAATGGTCCTGTTTGAGACAAGTAGATATGGTTACAGTATTTGTGTCAGGTCCAGTTGAATTTGGTAAAATCATGTTTACGTCTGATTCTTAAAAGCTAGTTAAAATAAACACCCCTCCCCTCAAACAAAATCTTCCATATCTTAAGGGGACAGTTTTGTTTTGTAAATTTTAATTTTTCACAAGTAATTTTCCTAGATGTACACTGATAAAATTTTATTGTTGGTTTATTAAAACTTAAAAGAAAAACTAAATACCAACAGAGTCTTTAATAATAAAAAAGATTAACAATGTAAAAGTAAGGGGAAGTGGTATGTTTGCCAATGAAACACATATATACAAGAAACCAACTGACGAAGATGTAAGAGATGATGGGTCACCATTCTGCCTTCAACAATGAGCAAACCGATTATTGTTTTTCTTTTTTTTAAATTAATTTATATTTAGATGACGACACCTACACAGAAATCATCGCTAGCTCTGTTTCGCTTTTCCTAGATAATTTGATTAATAAACCAACTGTTATATGTAATTTTAGTCTTTTGAAATATGTAATGCAATGTTTGCACGAGTTTATGCGTGAAATATAGGCGGATGATGTAGTTCTAATATTATTGAAAAAAAAAGTAATAAAACAGATTTAACCCTTTCTGTAAAGGAAACGTATAAATGATTCATAAAGATATTACGTAAAAATATATATTATAAGTTATACAGGGTGCCAGTGACCTAATACGATATATATGGGGTCAGTACATTCCATAGGGGGTGAGAGCTAAACCCCGTATGGAATTTACTGATCCTATATATATATATATCTCGTATTAGGTCACTAGCATATGGAACGCCACAGCTGTCTTATGTGGAACTCTGATATTACGTTATATTGTTCTATTATTACTTGATGATAGTTTGTCTTTACATAATATGGTTTTGACATTACGTAATGATGTTTTGATATAACTCAATATGGAATAGTCATTACATAATAATATTTCGATATTACATGATATTGTTTCGTATTGACTTGATATAGTTTTGTCATTACTTAATATGGTTCTGTCATTACTCGATGTGGTTTCACCATTATTTAATGTGGTTTTAACATTACTTGATGTGTATGTGACATAACGTAATGTAGTTGTTTCATTACATGATGTGGTTTTGTTATTTCGTAATGATGATTTGTCAATTCTTTATATGGCTTTAACATTACGTAATGATGTTCAAAATTTGACGATTTTACACTACATGATGTGTTTCTTTCAGTATTTGATGTGGTCATGTCATTCTTTGATGTGGTTATCCCTTTACTACTACGAGGTAAAACCACGTGACCATTTTGGAAAAAAAAAATATGTTCTATTTTTAGACCGATTTCCATATGTCGTTTGTGTAATGCGGTTTGGATGAGTACCACTTTTCATTAAGTTAAAGTTCAAATTTAAGTTCAAGTTGTTGTTCATAGTTATTTGGTATGAAAAAGGGGAACGACAGACAAAATTAAGAAAAAAAGTACTAAAACATTTACAGTAATTCGGACATAAGAGGGATATCCCAAAACCACTTGCCGGTTTTTCCTTAGTTCTCAAATGGAAGCAGTATTATAGTAAATTCGTAAATGATTCCAAGGAACACTGCTTTATCTTGGTCTTGAAGAATAACTCCTATACAAGTTTTATAACAATTCATGGAGGTTTACAAATTTATCATGTCAAAATAGTTTAATTCGGTAATATTCAATGCAAAAAAAAACCTTGCATAGAAATAAAAAAAATGTGGTATGATTGCCAATGAGACAACTCTCAACCACATACCAAATGACGTAGAAGTTAACATATATGTGTGACTGTATAGTCTTTAAGAATGAGAAAAATGCATACCACATAGTAAGTTTAAAAAGGTTGCGAAATGAAAAATATAAAAACAGTTCAAACTAGAAACCTAACAACCTAAATGATGAAAACGCCGACGATACTACCGACGACGGCATATAGGTTTGTTGTATCTCACTGTCGCTACATTATTGTCGCAGGTACGACACAAATTAAAAGACTTGTACTGTATTTTCAACAAATGAGACACTTTAAATCAACTCGCACTAAAATTAAAGGGAAATGGGGAGGGGATGGGGGGGGGGGGGGGGGGGGGGGGGGGGGGGGGGGGCTAAGCAACAAAGCATCAATTCTATAAAATAAGAATTCTCCATGTTTTTTAGCGTGTATGTTCATTTGAACATATGAATATTAAACTTTTTTTTATTAATTGCAGTTTCTGATATACCACGCATTAATTGAAAAAAAACCTTTTTGAAATATCTGTTTCACAGGTGACGACGAATATGTTCGAATTTAAACTACCAAATGAAACTAAATCACTGGGTTTGTACTTTCACGAATAACACGACGGGTGCCACAAGTTAAGCAGAATCCGCTTACCCTTCCAAAGCACCCGAGATCACGCTGATGGATTTATCTTACCCAGTCATACTGATCTATTTAGTTGATCCTATCAAAACTGTCTTTACATTTTCTTCTTATGCTGTGCTATGATACACTAGGTAAGGATAGGGATTAGCGCTTACATACATGTTAAACTCCGCCGCGTGCACT